TACTCTACAGGCGAAGCGGCCAGTAAAAAAACGATCCATCCCTCTAAAAGACAAAAAATTTCTAAGAGTCATTCAACTCATCATCTTAATATCATGGTTTTGGTGATTCTGACTTTAAGGCTGACGACAGTGAGTATGAAAACAATGAAGAAAATGAGAGAACTCCTACACCAAGCAGAAAACGCAAAATTGCAGTCAACTTGGCGACCTCCACAAGAGTATCAACAAAATCGGTTGTGAACATGAATTAAATAGAATCCTCCGTTTGGTGATGGATGGAGAACTTGGAAGTAAAACAATCGCCTAAAATCGAATATCCAATTGTATCTCAACTGTTGAAGGAGTACGAACAACTGAAAACACAGTTTGATAACGGAACAGAAGTAATTCTTAAAACATCAGGCTGCAGAGATAGAGTTAAATATTTGGTTCATCTTATTTAAGTGTTCTGATTTTTTGAATAAAAAAAAGGGACATTTCCATTGATCAGGTTCTAGAAATTACCCAACATTAGCAATGCGAGGTGAAACTTCAGAGCTATACTAGCGATCCTGGTCTTCATTTTAATTCCTTTAACAAGAACAGTGTTGCATGTCGATTTATATCGTATGGCTAGGCAGACTAACTGTACAACGAAATTAACTTTAATAACTTGGCTGAAATACTGAATTCTAGAAATTTAATCATCATGAAAAAATAAAGACAAGTTGCACCTTCGATTCCTTCTGTGCAACAAGCAAGGTCAACGGTCTGAGCCATTGTTGGATTGAAATTTATTGTATTACATAACTATAACATTCTAAATTCATTTGAATACATTGTAGTACTTATGTCAAAATCGATTTTTCGATGGCGGAGTGAACTTTTTTTTAAAAGATATACAAATATATATATATATATATATATATATATATAATATATATATATATATATATATATATATATATATATATATATATATATATATATATATATATATGTATATATATTTCAAATTTTTATTTAACTTTATTTAAATTAGATTTGAGACCAAACATGACTTAATTTTGAAATATTTGATAGTATTAGAGACTCGTTAAATGTATGCACCTCTAAATATGTTTTTAATAAAAAAATAATAATTTCAGATTTAATTTAATATATGTTTACAATAACATTAATCGCATGAGTATAAATAAAATTATCATTATTACCTTATATTAAATTAAGTTATATTAAACTCTCTAAACTGTTGGCTAATAATTAATAAAACAAATTTGAAAATTTGAAAAGTCATGAAAATTTCTTATGTTTAAAACATTTTAACATTAGGAAACCAAAAATAAAACAGTAGAAGTATTTGTATATTAATAAAGGTACAATTAAATAAATGAAAATAATTATAATAATTAAAATTAATTATAATAATTAAAAATAACTATATAAAAGATAAAACATTTTGTAAAATTAATTTTATTTAAACTAAATAAAGCAAAATTTGTTAAAAAGTCGCACATTTTGACACAGATTCAATAGCAAATTGCTAACAATTATAGTCCAAGATAAATAACACTTTTGTTTAATTTCTGTCGAAGACCTGCTTTTAATCCTTGAATAAGTTTGCGGTAATATTTTTGACCATACGTTTTGAATCTAATGGTTAAAAATCCAGCAGCAATTTTTTTTATCAATTGAACAACATGTAAGTCTTTGTTACAATGATCATAGTCAAAGTGATCATCCAGAGTTGGAAAAATATTAACATAAGGCGAAAGTTTACGTAAAACCACACTCAAAATAATAACATTAATGTTCTGCTTAGCAGTAATTGTAGTTGAATTTGAGCCACATACACTAACTTTAAAAGCTTTTTCACAAGTTTCAACAACTTTGACAACACCTGAGGATGGAAAAATCAACCCTCCTTTATTTTTATGCACAATAAAACTATGTATGTGTCCCATTGGTAATGTATTACCAAATGATCATTGACTGAAGACATAATTCCAGTTGTTGTTAATGCTTGGGCACAAATTGTGCACTCAATACTGTGTAACAAATCACGAACAATAGACCCTGAAATGTAGCATAATACAGCTTGTTGAAACATGCTTATGTTTTCCTCGTCTAGTTTAAAAAACTTTATAACAGTTTTCTATACAAGTGAGGTATAATTGCTGGTGCCAACTTTTTTTGTTAAATATAACTATTATTATAATAGTAATACACTAATAACAAAACAATATAAAATAATACATAATATAAAACCAGAAATACACAATTAAAAATATGCCTAACAATAACTTATACGATTAATGTAATACACTTTAAGTATAAGGGTATTATTAGTATAGTAAGTACAAGTGTTTCACATACCTGTGAAACGACACGCTTTGTTTTAGTTTTTGCCGATTTGTGCAACCATATGCACAGCACGAAATAACCATATATCTGCAAATTTTCAACAAGTAATAGTGGTTCTTAGAAATTAAACTGTTAAAACCTTTCTAAAAACTTAGGTTCAGTTAATATGAAGCTTATATCCCTATGTTGCTCTTTCAGAATTCAAATTTTTTGCCGTACTGCAAGATGGCGGACGTCAGCTTCACTTTTTAATTAAAGTCATGCATCTAGTTATATTATACGTCATTGGATATTATAATAGTTTTGAAATAAACTCAATAAAAGTGGACAAACTAAGAAAAAAGTTAAATTTATTTCATTCTCTGTAAATATCTTATTTTTTATTACACTGCAATTGTAAAACTTGGATTAATTCTAAACTAAAAACTTTTAAGAACAACTAAACTATAAATAAAACTAACAAAAACTATGCAATATTTTAATGTGTCTGTGTCTAAGATCAAAGAAATGCCGTTCAAAGCAGCCGTGGCGCAGTGGTAGCGCACTTGCCTCAGAAACGTAAGATCCGTGGTTCAAACCCCACCTATGGGCAAGTTTTGTAACATCGGTTGGGAAGGAGGCGTGAACTTTCTATTAAACGCTATTCCGCGGTGCTTTGTGATAAGACCGTAAGGACTTCTTGGAGCACCTTAATCAACTTGAAAAAAAAAAAAAAATGCCACAGCAACATATTTGTTCCGGTAGATAGAAAAATGCATAAGCGAAAATATCAGATTTCTTGTCACACTTCCCACACGTTACAGAAAAAAGCCTAAAAAACAAAAAATCGTTTAATCTTAGCCCAATAATAAGAAAATAATTACATATTTATTATACAATTTGAATGTTAACACAATAATTACATATTTATTATATAATTTCCTATTAACATGCATTCAACACATTCAAGGTGAAATCTTTTTATCTCAGTTGTGTTTTGTCAACTTTTCTAGATATAAAAATCGCTCCTAAGATTATCGTATCAAACTCAAATACATCTGGAAAACAAACAACATCACGCTAAATATTTTTGTTTTTCTCTTCAAGACAGAATGTTTTTATACATATGAAAAGCCCCTTCGAACAACGTTATTTATTCGTTTTACAAATTTAATTTGCAAAACGAATATATAACGACATTTCTATAATTCTCCCTATAATTCTATCAACAATTTTTCTTGTTTTTCCATAAATCTAAAAACTGTAAAAAATATTTACAAATTCAAAACGTAGACATTGTAATAGTTTTCTTTAGATATATCGAAATCGCAATCAGTGACGGATCCATGATTTTTTGGCGTTTGAGCTAACTTGCAGACATGGAGCAAACTCCAAACATTTTTACGTTTATACTTATGTTAAATAATAATACTTTGCAAAAAAATGATTTGGAGTTTACTCCATGTCTAAAAGTTAGCTCATCGCAAACACCAAATAATCATGGATCTGTCTCTGATCGCAATGGTAAAGCCAGTGATAAGAAATATTTTGATAACTAAATCATTTAGCAAAGGAAGGATTACAACAGCAGTAACAAAATCATATAGAAAAAACAACGATAATAACATGTATTAAAATTAAAAAATAAAATTTATACTTTTTAACTTTAATACATCTTATTATCGTTTAAGTAACAACTAAATAACACTTTTATGACTTACTTTGGCAAGTAATTTTTATTTATAAGTAACTTATGTTATTTATTTTTTTTTTTTTTATGTTATGTTATTTTTATGTTTTTTTTTTTTAATGTTATTTTTTTTTATGTTAATTACTTTTATTTGTAAATATAAATAAATATTATAACAAATTCTTAAAATCAACTTTATATAATTAAATTTTAGATGTGATGTAATTATTATTATTTTTTAATAATTTAATTTTAATTGTAAATATATTTAAATTTACATTTTACATTTAAAAACGACTTTTTTACTTAAAGGGAGTAAAAATTCTATCCCTTAATTAACTTGAGCCAATAATTTTGTTAAATCAAGTGTAATGGCTGTTGTAAGTTTAAAACTATTTTTTAGGATTAAAATAAATTTTGAGGGTAAGGAAAAAGACAGAGTCCTAAAAATTAGTTGGATTTGAGACAATGTATTCCATGATTTTGGGCACAATATATTCCATGATTTTGGGCACATTTATTCTATAATTTTTGGGCTAAGTTTTGTATTTTCAATTTGCCGGTGCTCATTCAATTAAGAATGAATCTTCAAAAAAACTTTGTACATTTTATTTTTTTTTAACATGAACGATTTTTTATTTTTTTTAACATTTTTGTTGTTAGCGACCTCGAATTTGTAACCAAAATAATAAAAAAACAACGATGGCAACCGATGTTGTGCCAACGTAACTTGCAAAATTGTTCTAACGCTTTACCAACGTATATGCGCTAGCTGGGTTAGCATATAAAAAAAAAAAAGGAAAAGTTTCAAAAAACTTTGGTACGCGAAAGTAAAGACAATATAATTTCTTCTTCTAGCTTAAAGAAAAATCCAAAAAGCTAGAATTCAATAGATAAATTCAAGTATTTCAGAATTTTTTAATTTTGTAAGATTAATTTTTCTAAAACAAATTAAAAAAAAAAAATATGAAAAAATATAAAAATTTACTTTGGATATTTCACTTCATTCATTTTTTTATCCTCACCAAATTCACTCTTCAGAAATGAATCCATTAGTTCAGTTGAGTAAGGCTTACTTCCAACGAAACATTTGTGACCAAGACGTAAGTATGCCTGTTGCACATAGCGAAGACTTTTACCTGTATAGTAAATAGTCAAGGAAAATTAATATATACTGAATAACTATTTATTTATTTTTTACTTTTATTATATTTATTAGTTTTCCATTTAAATATCATATCAACAGAATATTCTATAAACTATTTTATAATTTGATAAAAACAGAATAAAGAAAACCATTTGCTATTGACAGTGCTAAAATGGAGCCAGTACTAGTTCCACTGATCCAATCAAATAGGTCATTTATTTGGCATCCAGTTAATGCTTCAAGTGTCAACAATATTTCTATTAAAATTAGTCCACGCATTCCACCACCATCTAATGAAAGAACAGCTTCTTTCTTTGTCTTCATTTTCAAAATAGATTGTGTGTGCGATGAAGTTATTGATGATTGGGGTTTCTTAATTTCTATAACTTTATCTTTGTCTAAAAAAAAAAAAAAACTTTATTTTTTTTATTGGTTACTTGTGCAATAAAATTTGCGAGTTGTTCACGAGTAAAATAAAATTTGTTAGTTAGTTGCTTGTACAAAAAAATTTGTGAATCAGTTGCTTGTACAAAATTTTTTTTTGTGAATTACCCACTTTAAAAAAAGTGTGTGAAAAAAGTTTAAAACACTGAAATGAAAAAAAATTTGACAAAACACTTTGATAACTGCAAAACTTAAAAAATAATTAAATTAAACTTAAAAAACTTCATAAAAAGCAGTAGAAGAATGTAATATACACAAGCAATATTTAAAAACATGAACACACTTCAGTACTAACTTTACAGAAAAATCAAATTATTCTTGCTGTTTTTTTTTTCAATTCTAATAATGTTATTAACAATATCTATTTACATGTAAGATTCATGGCTTAACAATGTACAGTATAAATGTACAGTATATATAAAGTATTTTAATGATATGCCATTTATTATCAATATAAAATAAGTATTAAATAAAAAGTAAGTATTTAATAAAAATGATGTGCTAACCTTATCCTAACCGAAACCACAAAATTGAAGTGAAAATATAGTTAAATCAAAACAATTCTTTTTCTGTGTGCCCAAAGGATTGCAAAGAAGAAACACGCAACAAAACACGTAGAAACACGTACGAAACACGAAGAAACACGCAACGAAGTTTAAAGCTAATTAACTTTATTTAAGATCATTAAAAAACTATATTCAATTTCATTGGCACTAAAAACAATTTTACTATTTACAAAAATTTTTCTTTTACATTTTTTCTCAAAAACTCGATTTTATTTGAAAGTTTTTTAAAAAGTTTATAATACCACCATTTATAAAGATACCACCATTCATACCACCATTCATAAAGATACCACCATTCATAAAGATATCAAAAAGATTTTTTATTTTGTAGCTATTTCTTTCCTTTACTCAGATCTGGTAATTATTACAATTGTAAGGTTTTTTTCGCATCATGTGTCTTAAAACTATTATTCTAGCTCTATTACTGAAAATAAAATCTATTTTTTTTTAATTAACAAACATTAAGCATTATTTTTTGTTAAAATTAACAAGCACAAGGAAATTACACTTTGCTGCCCTTAATAATCTCTTGGACTCTTTTTTAATTAAGAAAAAAAAAAACACAAGCAAAATGAAAGTTTTGAATTTACTGCTGCTATTTTGAACTTTTTTACAGAGTCTCAGTTTTAAAATAAATACAACTTAGTCAATGGAAAGGGGTCATTAATTTTGTTCAAATGCGTACAAGGATGAAAAAAAGAAAGAGAGAGAAAGAAGAAAATTTAAAATCAGAGATTTTACGACATACATACTTTAAGGGTTTTTTTTTTTTTTTAATTTTTTTTTTATTTTTAGATAATATTAATCTCGAATTATTTTTGGTATATAAAATATTTGCATGTTTGATTTTTTTACTTTTTCAGCTCTTTAACTTCAATATATACCTCTAACAACTTGTTTAGAGCATTATAACATTGCTAATGACATTATATTTAAATGGAAATAGGAGAACCCAATACATCAACAGACATGAAAGAAACATGGTCAAGAAATATTTATGTATGAGTGAAGTCATTGACAGCAAAAAATTAATTTCTTTATTGTTATTTGTAAATTTTAATAAAAAACAGCTTATGGTAGACATTTTAAGAGTAGACTCTAAACCAGCCTATCTGTCTAATTACATAATCTAACTACATAGTCATAAAATAATCTGCTAACTACATATTTATATACTTCATTAAGATTTTTAATGAAATTTATTTTAATATCTATGTTTATCCTAAATGTTATTTATCAACGTTATCATAGATCATGCTTTGCTGACCAGAGAGCGCCACCTTTATGGGGTGAGTTTACACATCAAGGTACCCAAGGTCATTCCGGCCACAATAAGACTTTAAAGAGCTCTCCAAGGTCATAAAGGCCATTGCAAGCAAGGAGACTACTTTAATTGTGGAAACAACCCTCTTTTAACTCTTAAATTCTAAAACGCAAATCTTGACAAATGAGGCAGCTGTGTGGAGAATCTAGTTGAGCATAGTACTACCAGGTACACGGTGAGAATTGAACTTAATATAAGATGAATTTGCTCACTATTTAAGGATTTATTAAAATTTTTGTTTTAATTTTATAATTTGTTATTTCTACCTTGAAATACAACAGATACCCTTTGATATTTGGATACTATTTTCAAAATAAGAATTACATAAGTAACTAGGTAATAAGCAAAAAAAATTTATACTACTGTTACCATTTTCGTTTTAGGGCAAAACATTGATTTGCTAGTATTGAGAATGCATAAACAGGCTGAGAATAGATTTAAAAATTGATAAAAAGACAAAATACTTGTTTTAAATACTATTTACCATGATAAAACATAAACACCACTAAACTGGTTATTTTAGCTCTAGGTAAACAAAATATTTGCAATGCATTTAACAATTAGTCTCTAGAAAATAAACAAAATTAAAACCTTGCTTGTTATTTCGACATTAAGGGAAATTTTTTTTTTTCAAAAACTACTATTATACTGTTATTATACCTTTACTGTTATACAAACAGTTTAAACACCATTACACCATTGCCGCTACATTAGTTAAAGTACTAAAAAACATTAATTTACATTTTCATTAAGTCTGACAAGTAGCTTTAGTTTAAACAACTCAATTTTTGCAAGCTAGATGCTTCAAAATTATTTTTTGTAGAATAGAGAAACATCTGTATGATATTAATTTTTACCGAAGTCTAAGAATCATTAGAACTCATATAAAGAGCTTTGTGATTTTCCTTTTTTCACAACTAAATGCAATTTTGTTGTGAAAAGCACAAGAATATGAAGATTATAAAGTTTATAATTTTAATAGTTTGCAAGTCATAATATTTGTAAATTTGTTAAGTGGTTTTTTGACAACTTTAATGGAACATTTATGGACCTGTGGGACAGTCACAATGGGCACTCCTTAGAACTCTATAGTGAACAACCCATAAAATTGCTCATCAAGATTTTAATTAACAAGGATCAAGATAAAATCATCATAGTTTTTTACAACTAAATGTAATTTTAATGTGAAAAGGGCAAGAACATTTGATGATTATTTAGTTTATAGTTTTAACATATTGCAAATAATAATATTGTAAGAATATGCAATGTATTGTTAACCTTTACGGAGTATTGTGGATTAATAATTAATAAAAAAATTAGGCTGCAATTTGTAAAAGACAGAGTTTAATCTATTGCTTTATTTACTGTGCAATAACTTCATTAAATTCTTGAAAATAAATTTTTCTATAAGAATAATATCAGATTTTTGACACCTAAGAAACAAATTAACTTTAGAAAAGTAGATTAAAAAGCTACAAGAGAAAACACTTCAAATTAGTGCTATTTTAGGTAGAACTGTATTTTGTTAACTTTTGAAACAATTTTTTATAAAAAGCAAAAATTAGCATATAAGTTTTCATTGAAAAAAGAATTTAAAACAAGTAGTTTCCTTTTTTTTGTATTTATTAACTGTTAAAAGATATTAATGGTACAAGTGCATAATGTCTTCAAATAGTTACGATAAAACCAGTGAGTATCTACTTTATAGTTACTACCAGTGAGTATCTAATTAATAGATAAAACCAAGGAGTATCTATTTAATAGTTACAACCAGTGAGTATCTACTTAATAGTTACAACCAGTGAGTATCTACTTAATAATTACAACCAGTGTGTATCTACTTAATAGTGACAACCAGTGAGTATCTGCTTAATAGATAAAACCAGTGAGTATCTACTTAATAGTTACAACCAGTGAGTATCTACTTAATAGTTACAACCAGTGAGTATAAATTTAATAGAACAACCAGTGAGTATCTACTTAATAGTTACAACCAGTGAGTATCTACTTAGTAGACACAACCAGTGAGTATCTAGTTAATAGATAAAACCAGTGAGTATCTACTTAATAGTTACAACCAGTGAGTATCTGCTTAACAGATATAACCAGTGAGTATCTAGTTAATAGATATAACAAGTGAGTATCTACTTAAAAGTTACAACCAGTGAGTATCTACTTAATAGTTACAACCAGTGAGTATATATTTAACAGAAACAACCAGTGAGTATCTACTTAATAGTTACAATGAGTGAGTATCTACTTAATAGATACAACCAGTGAGTATCTAGTTAATAGATAAAACCAGTGAGTATCTACTTAATAGTTACAACCAGTGAGTATCTACTTAATAGTTACAACTAGTGAGTATCTACTTAATAGTTACAACCAGTAAGTATCTACTTAATAGTTACAACCAGTGAGTATCTACTTAACAGATATAACCAGTGAGTATCTAGTTAATAGATATAACAAGTGAGTATCTACTTAAAAGTTACAACCAGTGAGTGTCTACTCAACAGATAAAACCAGTGAGTATCTAGTTAATAGATAAAACCAGAGAGTATCTACTTAATAGAAACAACCAGTGAGTATCTACTTAATAATTACAACCAGTGAGTATCTACTTAATAGATATAACCAGTGAGTATCTACTTAATAGTTACAACTAGTGAGTATCTACTTAATAGTTACAACTAGTGAGTATTTACTTAATAGATACAACCAGTGAGTATAAATTTAATAGAACAACAAGTGAGTATCTACTTAATAGTTACAACCAATGAGGATCTACTTAATAGATACAAACAATGAGCATCTAGTTAATAGATAAAACCAGTGAGTATCTACTTAATAGTTACAACCAGTGAGTATCTACTTAATAGATACAACTAGTGAGTATTTACTTAATAGATACAACCAGTGAGTATCTACTTAACAGATACAACCAGTGAGTGTCTACTTAACAGATACAACCAGTGAGTATCTAGTTAATAGATAAAACCAGAGAGTATCTAATAAATAGTTACAACCATTGAGTATATATTTAATAGGCACAACCAGTGAGTATCTACTTAATAGTTTCAAATAGTGAGTATCTACTTAATAGTTTCAAACAGTGAGTATCTACTTAATAGTTACAACCAATGATTATCTACTAACGCACCCAGTGAATATTTATGCTAAAATAATTTTTACATATATATTTAAATTAAGTCTTGACTCTAATTTATTAAGCTAGACTTGTTTTAATATTTTAAAAACGAATAATTTGAGTTTTCCATAAATTTTTCTGGTTTTAAATAAACTTCCAAAAAAAAATGTTATTAACAAAATAAAATATTTTATGTTTTGAATTCAGGTCAAAATAGTGCCAGGTCAAGAGGTTCTAAACTAACCATTCAAACTCTTTTTGTTTGACCAATTTAAAACAAGATAATACTTTCAACAGGTTAGAAAAACTCATAAGAACTGTAAAAAATATATTGAATTTCAAAATGTCAGAGTCATCTTGAAATTTGACTTTTATATAAATTCCAGAAAACAGATCAACAATAGTAAGTGACTGGTGCGTAAATGAAACGCCAAAAATTAGATTTTTTGCAAACCCGGTCCCAGCCTTGGAAAAATTAAAAGATTTAACAGGGGTTATTAGCCGGGTGTAAAAAAATTCATAAAACTTTATATATTAAAAATTTATGCAGAAATTTACAATTTATTATATACTGGCATATATTTATTTATTTTTAAAAACTAATTTACTTCCAACAAGGTTGCAAGCAATCAATATTAAGTTATGAGTTACAAAAAAATAGAGGATAGGTTTAAAGAGCAAGGAAATTATTAACTGAAACAGCATAAGGATGTGACTTGCTGAATAAGAAGCCTGAATAAGAAAAAAAAACAAACAGTGAGTTTATGAGTTTTGGTTGATCGATCTAGAAATGATAGCTTTGGTTGATCGATCTAGAGATGAAACCTTACAACAACAAGAGAGTGGATTAAACTAGGCAGATAAAACAAGTATAATTACATTTACTATATGCTTTTAGACAATGTCTGTTAGTGAGGGTTGTTATTTGTCAATATAGGAATGTCAACAATATTGTAATAATCATTTATTTACTGCAAACAATTTTCATAAAATAATATGAAATAAAAAAGTTTTGTAATCTAACAAAACCTGTGGATTTTAAATCCAGACTTAAAAACCCTAAACTGTTACAGAAAAAAGATCAGATCAAAAATTAACTGCATGTTCTAATCAAGCAAAAAGTGAAAAAAAAAGTTGAATCGTCAGCAAATAGAGCAACTTTAGATGTAAAATTTTCAGGAAGATCATAATTATAGATAAAAAACAATACAGAAGCAAAGATTGAACCTTGCGGTACACATAAAGTTACTGAAAATAAAAAAGGGAGTAGGCCTTCAAGAATCAATTTATTAGTGCAGTTAGAAAAAAATGATTTCATAGTTTTAAAACCTTATATAATGAAACTAATAACAGAGTGAAAAATTACAATAAGATAGTTGAAAAGGTCAGAGTGAATTCTAGAGTTTTTAAAAATTGGAACCACTTAGTTAGCACTTATTAATAGTTTAACAAAAATTGGAGAGAGATTAACAGAACACTTTATAAAGACTATGATGGAAATTTTGTCTGAACCACAAATTGTAGAAGAGTTTAATTGAGAATTAACTTAAGCATTGGAAGCCAGAGTGATTTGGATGTCTAACAATGGGTTAATCTGTTTAATTCGAATGGCAGCAAGAGTATGGTCATTAGATTAAATAAAATCAGACCAATGAAATAGAAACTAAATGTTAGATGTACTTTAGTTAAAAACGGTGTTAAAGATTTTCAGAAGTCTCTAAAACCTAACATCGGAGACAAGATACAAAATTTAGTAAAACAGCGCTTAGCATCTGACAGTAAATTTTTAAATTGACTTTAATAGAACATGAAGGTGAAAATTGTGGAGAAGAATATAACTTGACTTAAAACTGAAA